TAAATAAATTTCAGGAATATCTCAACTTGGTGCCATCTGATCCTTTGAAATAATTTATCGTAAGTTCAAATAATGTTTATAGCCTTAAACCAAAAAAAGATAACAATTTACTATGCCTGTTTTCTCTCTCCTAGAGTGGACCACACGTTCTACGTCCATCAAGGTTCTGATTTTATGGCTGAGGTAATTCATATTTGTATTAATATGCAGTTTAACTCTGGGAAATATTGGCTGTAATTTATTAATTGCAGGGTGGTTGTGATTCACTGGATTGGACTTGCAAGCTTTGTCCTCTATCTTTGGACTCGAGAGCTAAACTCTTCAAACACTACAGATTAAATCATGGAAATTATTCCAGTGTTAGCCCTTTGCCATGTCTGTATGACTACTGTATTTGCACATTTACGTCATACAATGCTCTCAAAGCTCATGTATCCCGCTATCACAGGACAAAGGCTTTGGAAAAGAAACAAAATCAGGTCAATTTTTCATGCGATCTATGCAACTTCAAAAATGTGTATAGTCAGGACACACTCTTCAGTCATTTACGAAGTCATTTAAGAATGCACGAAATGGTGGTCTGTCCTTTCAAAGACTGCAACTTCCGAACCAACAGCTACTATGCATTTAATGTCCACAAAAGTAGAAAGCATAGTGGAAGTTCAGACATTAAGGACCATTTTTTTTCAGTTGTACAAGACGCAACAGAGCCCTCGAGTTCCATGGATCCTGATGAGGGTCATAGTTTTTTAGAGGAAGTTGATTTATTGGAAAATCAAGAACTGACAATCGAGAGGCGGGAAGATTTAAGAGACCAGCTACAAAACAACTTGGCATCTTTGTTTTTAAGAATGAAAACTGTGCTTCATGTTTCTGATATGGCAACTCAGGAGATCATTGAGCAGTTGACTCAGATATTCACCTTGTCCCAACCACTGTTAAAAACGGATATTATGAATATTTTTCAAAATCATGGAATAAGTGCTTCTGAAACATTAATCACTGACATGGTTAAAGCTTGCATCGACTGCAACGTATTTGCCACATCTACTGCTAAAGGAGAAGTTTTGTCATCAAACAAGAGGCGAAAAACATTTATTGAGAGAAACTTCCCTATCGTCCGTCCTGTAGAATACATTCTGGAATCAGGACACACAACAGTACATGTGCCAGTGCTTCAAATGATACAGCAAATATTTAAAAGCACTGACATTCTTGACAGAATCAAGGAAACTAAAGCCAGTCAAACAGGTCATTATGCAAACCATCGTGATGGTTCACACTTCAAAGAAAATGACTTTTTTTTGGCAGAGGAAATGAGATTGCCTCTTATTTTGTATACAGACGACATTGAACTTGCAAATCCTCTTGGCACCTCTCGCAAAATACATAAACTTAGCACTATATATTGGGTGTTTGCTGATCTTTCAAGTAAGCACAAGTCTGCGTTGCATGTTATTCAACTTGCAACACTATGTAAAGTGACAGACCTTGAGAGATTTGGTTATGAGAAAGTTCTCCGGCCTCTACTGAAAGACATTTGTACACTTGAGCATGATGGTGTATTCATTGAATCTCTTGGTAAAGCTGTTCGTGGCACTGTAATGTGTGTGGTGTCGGACAATCTAGCTGCACATTCATTGGCAGGCTTCACTAAATCTTTCAGGACCACACATTTTTGTAGATTTTGTACCGCTACTCAAGATCAGATTCAAACCTATGAAGTTAGTGAGGGACACTTCACTCTGAGGACAAAATCCAGTCATGCCATGGACGTACAGACAGTGACACAGGAACTGTATCGACAACAATGTGGTGTCCAACGTGAATGTGTTTTAAATCAACATCTTGATCATTTTCACACAGTGACTGGATTCCCCCCAGATGTTCTACATGACTTGTTTGAAGGTGTTGTACCTGTGGAGCTGGCCCTGTGTTTAGGTGAGATGATCCGCCGCAAGTATTTCACTCTAGAGTATTTAAACAAAAGAATACAGTCCTTCCCATATCAGCACACAGACAAAGTTGACAGGCCACAACCTATTCCCAGAAAGTTTGCTGCAAAGCACTCCATAGGGGGCAACGGACATGAAAATGCAATCATTATCCGATTGCTTCCTTTGATGATTGGAGAGAAAGTCCCGCAACAAGATGCTTATTGGTCAATCCTCATGGATTTAAAGGATATTGTCGAATTGATGTTGTCTCCTAAGTTCACTGAGGAAACTATTCAATATTTACAGTCCAAAATTGAAGATCACAGACAGAGTTTACAGGAAGTTTTTCACGATTTTAATCTCCGCCCCAAACACCACTTCATAGAGCATTATCCACACCTCATTCGTTGTTATGGTCCTCTTGTCTTATGAGGTTTGAAGGTAAACATCGATTTTTTTAAGAGGGTTGTTCATGACACACAGAACTTCAAAAATGTTTTGAAAACATTAGCGACAAGACATCAACAAATGGTAGCATTCTACCTTAGCTCTCCTTCCTTCTTTAAACCTCACCAACACACTTCAAGTGTCATATCTGTGCTCGTCTCCACACTTCCAGAAGTTGCCAAGGTATATGTCAAACAAAAGACAAACAGTGATATTCTTCATTCCACTTTGAGTGTAACTGTAGATGGTACTGACTATGCTGTTGGCATGTTCGTTTCTTTTAGCCATGAAGGGTGCTTGCCTAAGTTCTGCAAAATTGAGAAGATATTCCTCATTGATAATGAGATCACTTTCCTTGCACGAGATCATAAATCGGACTACGTTGAACACCTGCGATCCTTTGAGCTCTCCCCTTTGAATCTGATTGTGTGCACCATATCGGATCTAAATGATTCCTTGCCTGTATTTGGATACAGCTTGGAGAGAAAATTGCTTGTAACACTGAGGAGATATGTGTTCTGTTGAAATAGGGCTGCCATATCAATTGCAATCGGAGTGCTAATATTAAAATGTGCCTTCTTTTGTGTACAGACGGACAACCAAAGAAAGAAAGATGACTACAACCCACAAGTATTTGCTCCGTGTTTATGTTGCTACAGATGTAGCCATGAAGTTGGCTCTTGCACAACGTCCTCAATCTGTTGAAGAGCTGAAAACTATAATGCAAAAAAAGTTCAGTCCAAGACTTGATGGTGAATTTACACTTCAGTATGAAGATCCAGACTTTGATGGAATGCTGTGCTGTCTCATCGACATTGATGAACTTCCTGAAAAAGGCATATTAAGAGTTGTCCGTACTGAAAGTGACGAATTATCTGTGGCAAGCTCAGACACCGACATAATGCCGCATGTGCCCCTAGAGCAGCGGCAAAAGCACTGGCCCAGTACTTTTACTGTTCCTGTCTTTTCCTTGGATATTGAATATGTGCTACAAGAAGCAAACAACGTTTATAGAGACTCTGGTAAAACATTGAAATTGTCCAGGGCCCAAAAGCACAGTATTTTAGAAAAGATGGCCGAAACAGTTTTTGGCTTCAAAGCATATCCAACTGACCGAGATCTGGGTAAAGCAGCTGAGGCTTTAGTTAGTGCACACCCATGCCTCTCAGAACTAGGAAGTGAGACGGCTTGGTATGGATGGAAAATACGTCTGGCACACAAGATGGGGAATTATCGGACAACTATGTCCAAATCAGGCTGTGCCGAAGTAGCGGTCAATGCTGGAAAACGAAGCAAGACAAATCCTGAAAATCAACACCCTCATTCAAATATTAAAAAAGCGAGACGTTTGAAGTCAACTTCCTTCCAAACTTTCCTAAAGGAGAAAACCAGGCCTCCCTAGAACAGATCAGAATCCATTTAAAGGAAGAAATGGAGAAGACTGAAAGGGATCAACTACTGATTGGGAGAAGCATGCAGACAACATTTGCACTTAGACGGCAGGAGATTGTACCTGGGGATAAACCTATAAAGGACCACCTCACCCGATGGCCAGCTTTATTGATGGAATCACAGGTATTGCTCTTTAATTCATTTAAATTCATGATTACATTTCAGTTTAAACTTAATAAACATATCTTCTGTTCACAGATTTTTGCTGAGTTTCATCGAATTACCAATGTGAATCTCTGCAAAACATTCTACGCAGAGCTTGACCGGCATACTCAGACACTGATTGGACTATACAGAAAGAAGGCTTCCTGCACGGGAAAGATAGCTGAGGCCCTGCAGCTAATTCTCAGAGAATACGACTTGCAGGTATTTATCTGTTATTAAATGTCTAGGGCAGAAGTGTAACCCACAAAAGAAAAAGATGAGAACATACTTTAAAGGAATAGGCCACCGTGTTTACATACTGACATATGTTCTTACCTTACCTTAGACTAGTTAATATGTACTTGTCTGGGGAGAGCCGCTAAGGGCGCGTCATGGAATAGACGTGTGAAACTCGAGGTCCCTACATCCTTATAAAAGTACGTTTTAATTTGCACTATTTTTTGTGTGTGATACACTCGCTGGACTCTGGGCACTTTTCCAACGTGCCTTTGAATATTTGAGACGGAAAGATGCCTCCAAAGAATGCCAAATCGACAGCTAGTACTACAGGTGTTAGCAAAACTGATGATCAAGCTAATTCCTCCGCTCACGCTGCTGCCCCGCGGGCTATCGTTGCTAGCAAGATGATGATTGATACAGACACACTGGAAACCTTTCGTGACATCGTTAAAGAAGTTATTAAAGCAGAAAATGACGCCCTACGAGAAGAAATCAACAAGGCTGTGTCGCCAATCCACCAGATGCTTGAGGATTGCCATGACAAACTACGCAACCACGAGCACGAACTGACCGCGCTGGACACACGAATGTTAGCTATGGAGGCTAATTGCAAGGAGATGAGCAACAGGTACGAGAAACTACAGCTAAAAATTGATGACCTGGAGAATAGAGGAAGACGATGCAACCTTCGCATTTTAGGGGTGCCTGAAGGGCTGGAACAGGGCAATCCGAGTGGATTCATAGCTGAACTGTTATATAGGGTGCTTGGTGATGGCCCAAATGGGTTGGAGAAGCCCCCTGTTTTGGATCAAGCGCACCGAACTGCTACGCGGGCAGCAGCTGACGGAGGAAGGCCGCGGCCATTTATCGTCTGTGTCCACCACTATCAAGAAAAGGAACGCATTCAGCAAGGGTCGACTGGAGATTCATGGAAAACAAATCCTAATCTTTCCGGACTACAGTGCAGATCTGACCAGACGCAGGGCAGCTTTCAATGAGGTAAAAGTTTCACTCCGACAACAAGAGGGAGTTCGTTACGGGCTCCTCTACCCTGCTCGACTCCGTGTCTCCTATAATGGTGAGACGAAGGTATTCAACACTCCCAGTGATGTGAAAGACTATATTGGCTCAAGGTTTGGGAGGAACGAATAAAACTTTCGTGTTGGGGCGAGAACCGATAGTGGACTAGCGTTAAACTAAGTGATCACCAAATGCACATGTTACTTGTTATTTGCACTGATACTAAGAATAATATTGCCTAATGTGTGCGTGTACCAATGTATGACTGTGAATATACGTGTACTTGAGCTGCTGATGTTATTACGTTTTGAAATGCTCCCAGAGCGGCTTTTACTTATTTTGAGGTAACTATTTGGCCCAGTGCTTTGGGCACTGGAAGGACTCACGGGTACACAGTATTATTGTTATTGTTGTTGTTATTACTTTTTATTATATATATCTTTTATTTTAATTATTATTATTGTTCAGCCACTATTCCACGCAATTGTTTATATCCTGTAATTATTATTGGGTTTGATACAATTGGATGTTGTTAACATAAGATACGTACTGTATTATTTTTATTATGTTCTAATGAGGGACAAAGGGCTTAAGGTGTAGAATGGGACTCTCAGTGGAAGTAGGAAAGCTTCGGGTAATATGTGTCTGTCGATTGGGGTCAGCACAAGGGGGAGGGGGAGTGGGGTTTCTTTGTTTACCTGTTCAAATGTTTTTGTTTTTTTGTTATACCATTTTGCAGATGACAACTAACTGTGTTTTTGAGGTTACAATGGCGCGGATCTATAATTTCTACTGTAAAGAAAGTCATGATGGTAACCACGTCTGATCAAGCGATTCCCGTAACCAATGGCTGCCATGTAAATTTCATCAGCTGGAATGTGAGAGGATTAAATCATTCGGTCAAATGTAATAAGGTACTGTCTCATCTTCTACATTTCAAAGTCAACATAGCATTCTTGCAAGAAACTCACTTAAAAAATGTACAGCAAAAAAGGCTGAAGAGAGGATGGGTTGGACAAATCTTCCATTCAAACTTTAATACTAAGGCAAGAGGCACAGCTATTCTTATTAATAAAAACACCCCATTTATTGTCTCTAAGACAATAGCGGATCCTAATGGACGTTACATAATCGTATCCGGCTCATTATTTAATACTCCGCTTATTTTAGCAAATGTATATGCCCCTAATTGGGATGACCAGAAATTTTTTAATAATCTCCTTCACTCACTACCTCAGATTAATACGCATCATTTGATATTTGGAGGTGACATGAATACAGTTATGAACCCGTCTCTGGATCGTTCTTCGGCCAAATCATTGACCGTTTCAAAATCAACACAAACATTACAATCTTATCAACAAACATATGGACTGGTTGACGTTTGGCGACATTTTAACCCTACTACCAAACAATATTCCTTTTTTTCACCAGTGCATCAAACATACTCGCGTATAGACTATTTTTTCATGGATAAGAAGATGATCTCTAATGTTGTAACCTGCAGGTATTAAAGTATAGTTATCTCTGATCATTCTCCCATGATTTTAGAATTAAATTTTCCTAATGAGCCTTTCACATATTCATGGAGACTCAACTCATTATTGCTCTCTGACGATACATTTGTGCAACATATCTCTAAACAAATTGATATTTTTCTAGAGACAAATATAACTCCTGATGTGACCTACTGTACAATTTGGGAAAGTATGAAGGCCTTTTTGCGGGGTCATATAATATCATACTCAGGCCCGTCCTAAGGGCTGTGCGACCTGTGCCGTCGCACAGGGCCTCGCACCACACAGGGGCCTCGCAATCTTCCTTCCTTTTATTTTATTTTATAAATACACTAGTTCAAGGGTCCCCAAAGGGCAGACTGCACTCCAAATTTGGAACCCTAAACCCCTTTCTCTGGACCTCTTTGATTTCGTTTGATCAAAAGAACATTTTTACAAGTAAAGTCAAATTTTCACCAAAAGCGATTTGTAAACAGGCAGGCGCGCGGGCAGCTATGTATGCAACGGGTCCTCCGAAAAAACTGTCAGATAACTTTAGCAGTGTCTGAGTGAGATACAAAGAAAGTAACGGGAATGATCGCAGTGTAGGAGAGATGGATACTCGCGGAGGAGGAGCAGTGAGACAGGTGTGAGCAGAGGAGCAGACCCCTTTGTGTGAGCAGAGGAGGAGGAGGAGGAGCAGCGGTGTGACAGGTGTGTGAGCGCTGCTATTGCCAATGTTTAGTCCGAATATCCACATCAAAAACATATTTTTAAAAGCATTAGCAAACACACTGTATGTCTAGCTTTAGCTAGCTGGAGTGTTTTTGTTGTGGTCAGAGTGTGTGGAGGAGGAGGTGAAGAGTATTTTGTTGTTGTCAGTGTGGAGGAGGAGGAGTGTATGTTGTCAGAGTGTGTGGAGGCATGGCAAAAACGTTATTTGATGAGAAAATAATAATATTGACTCCGCCTCATAGCCATTTTGGCGCATTTTGCCCAAATCTAACTATTAGAAGAAAAAGACTCCTTTTGGTTCAATCTTTTGAGTTGCTCTGCCATTTTGCCACAGGACGAAAGAGACATGTCAGCTAAAAAGACCGCGACCAATATTGCACGTAGAGTGTGTGTGCGTGTGTACGTGCGCGCGCCAAACGCTGCATAGGAGCGAAGACACTCGGTTACACGCGTGCTGATCTCGTCAAGCACCGCGCGAGGTGGTGCTGAATTCATGTCAAAGATTATAACAGGAAAAACTTTCCTCAGATCTGGGAAAAAAGTGTCAGGGCAGGGCCTCGCGTTTCGAGTTCGCACAGGGCCTCGCACCCCCCTTGGGACGGGCCTGATCATACTGCTCACATATTAAAAAGCAAAGAGAAAAACGTGCTACTGAACTAACCCATCTTATTTCACAATTAGATACACAGCATTCTTCCAACCCAACTCCAGAGTTGTATAACAGCGTCTGGTCTTTCAAACTGAATTTAATCTTATATCGACTCGACAAGCTGAGCAAATGATGCACAAGTCAAGAAGGTTGTGGTATGAGCATGGAGAGAAGGCATCCAAGCTGTTGGCACACCAGCTGCGTAAGTCAGAATCTGCCCAATTTATCTCCAAAATTAGAACTCAAAGTGGAGAGATCTCTGCTAATCCCAAAATAATAAATGATAGCTTTCAAACATTCTATGCTGACCTTTATAAGTCTGAGTCTTTGAACTCATCTGACTTATTTGATGAGTTCTTTGAGAATCTACCTGTTCCAACTCTGCAGACAACAATTAGAGATCAACTGGAGGAATCAATATCTGTAGAGGAAGTAAAACTAGCAATTGGTAAGATGCAGGGTGGAAAGTCCCCAGGGCCAGACGGCTTTCCAGTTGAATTTTTTAAGACTTTTAAGGATCGATTGTCACCTCTGCTGCGGGATGTTTATGTTGAATCGCTTAGTTTGACAACCCTGCCTCCTACACTTCGGCAAGCAAACATTTCTTTACTATTAAAGCCAAATAAGGACCCGCTTGAGTGCTCTTCATATCGGCCAATTTCGTTACTGAATGTAGATTTTAAGATTCTGTCCAAATTACTCTCCCTCCGCCTTGAACAATATTTACCCACCTTGATTACACCTGATCAAACAGGTTTTATTAAGGGGAGGCATGGATTTTTCAACTTACGTAAATTCTTCAACATATTACATACGCAGTCCACTGACATTCCAGAAATAGCTCTATCACTTGATGCCGAGAAGGCGTTTGATCGGGTGGAGTGGGATTTTTTATTCTACACACTTGGTAAATTTGGCTTTGGAGGTAAATTTATTTCGTGGGTACAGTTACTTTACTCCTTACCTATGGCACGCGTTAGGACAAACTCTTTATTTTCTCATTATTTCCCACTCCACCGCGGTACAAGGCAGGGGTGCCCACTATCCCCCCTCCTGTTTGCGCTCTTTATTGAACCCCTTGCAATTAAGTTGAGGACGGAGGAGAAGGTGAAGGGAGTCCATAGAGCAGGCCAGGAACACAAACTGTCTCTATATGCAGACGATCTTTTGTTATTTATTTCTGACCCTCTGGATAGTCTTCCTCATGCATTTTCTATTTTCGATCAGTTTAGCCGCGTCTCGGGGTACAAATTAAACATCCAGAAAAGTGAGATGCTTGGAATCAATTCAATAGCGGATACCATCTCATACACCAATTTCCAGTTCGGAGTAAAATTAGACTATATAACTCATTTGGGTGTTAAGGTAACTAAAGTCTTTGAATTACTTTATAAAGAAAACTTCCTGTCATTACTTGATAAGACAAAATCTGATTTGCATAGATGGAATAATTTACCGTTGTCATTAATTGGCCGTGTGAACTCCATTAAAATGAATATATTACCAAAGTACCTTTATTTTTTTCAAAGCATTCCATTTTATATTCCCAAAACATTTTTCATGGATCTTGACAAACTTATTTCAGTGTTTATTTGGAATGGTAAATCCCCACGGATTCGCAAGGACTTCATGCAGAGACTTAGACCATCAGGAGGTCTTTCCTTACCTAATTTCCAAATATATTACTGGTCAGCAAACATACGGAATATTCTTTACTGGGGTGGTGATTCAACTTCCAAGACTCCGTCGTGGGTCCATATTGAGTCAGGTGGCTCTGGGAAAACCTCTTTATCTGCATTGTTAAAGGGCCCATATCACGGTTTTTGACTTTTCTCTGCTTTAAACATGATTATAATGCTATTTGGCCTTCATACACAAGCCCACAGTAGTTTATTCATTGATTCTGTCAATCTTTTGTAAGAGAGCAATCTGTCTCCTTCCCCAGCGTGAGGCACAGAAACGCTCGGGTCCACTTCAGTGACAAAAACCACACTGATGACGCGCATGACGCGCATGACCCCGTTTGCTTTGTATTTAAAATAGTTGTTAAATACTTTTGTCAAAACGGGGTAAACAATACACAATTAGTATGCTGTTTTTTGTCAAAAATAATAAAAATAAAAATAAATTAAAAGCCGGCGGGAGGTGATTGACGGATCAAAACAGCGAATCAGAGCGCACAGGCTCCGGCTCCTGAGTCCAGCGTCTGTGGTCTGGTCTCGCGGACACCACATAGAGCTGCTGTTTTTATG